GGCGCCAGTCGGCATCCGGCAAAGGGGTGGGGGGGAGCGTATTACACGTTCGCTCTTTCGCTACTTTCTTTTACTGATTCATGTTGAATCACAGTCACCATGTCCACCAAAATGAGACAAGTAAACTTGTCTCAAATGTGAAGGAGGCTTGTTCTGCTGCAACGCTTTGTAGGAATTCACAGGTCTCCACAGGAGCATCGGTAATAACAATGGAAACCAGCAAAATACCCCCACTAAACCGAACGAGCGCCGAGATTTATACCTATCGGAAAAACTGTCAGCTGCATCGTGTCTGTCAGGTGCTGAAAAAAATGGGGTGCAGCTGGGTAGTCGATTTGCCACAAAATGAAAATGACATGAGAGAGGGAAAGAAAAAAATGAAAAATGAGCAGGGAACTACCCCTCGAGTGAAACAAATTGTGTTGGTCAACGAAGCAATGTTTATGTTATAGAAGCGCAACCCTTCGATGGGTCTTCAGATAAAGAGGTCTGCACACAAAGGGTAACCAGGAAGGGTATCGATCAATCGGGTTGGATGTTCAAACTCAAATTCAAGCATCAGGCTCAGCGCAATAGGCTGGCCGACCAAGAACATAGTCACAACCAAAAGACCAATCCCCTGATTGTGAGGTATAGGGCGCATTATTTTCGAAGCCATAGGGTCACGTGCCACAGCGCGTGCAAATATAATAAGGAGGATGAAGAAAGAGAGGGATTAAGACCGTCTCAGGGCACTTGTCAACCGGGAAGCCTCTCCTCTCTTTCCTTTTTTCTTCCTCCTTCCTTCTTTTCCTTCCTTCCTTCTCTGATCCCTCCTCCTTACCTTCTCCCTTCAACTACTGGATTGGTAGATGCCTCGCGTAAGAGCACGGAATATGGGAAAACCTGAGATGAAAGGTTTCAAGATTTTCGATTTTTTCCATGACTAAGCGGAAGTCATTACATTTTACAACAAAAACCAGAATCCTAAGGTAAGATTCTTCAGATTGTAATGGTGAAAGCTTGAGCAGTCTGGCTTATCCTTCCATAACTACGGTCCAGTGGCACAGGCAATATCAGCATATCCAGCCATCAAAAGCACTGTCTTTTATGATCATTTATACAGCCTTGTTCGCTACGGATGGCGGGGCGTGTCAGGGTATAGAGGTTGGGGCGGTACCAGCTTGTTTTCCACCAATCGTTGTGCGTTGCTCGCTTGCTCGCTTCAAGTTGTTCATCTGTCTTTAGCTCGTTTGCATGCTCTCTCGCTGCCCTTCCCTGGTCTCTAGCCCGAAATCCCTGTCCATTGCTTG